TCTCTCTCTCTCTCTCTCTCTCTCTCTCTCTCTCTCTCTCTTTCTTTCCTTCTTTTTATCTATTTCTATCTAGCTATCTTTCTATTATCTCTATCTATCTATCATCCTATTTTATCTATCATCTCTATCTCTATCATTTATATCTATCTACCTATCATCTATATCTATCATCTAGCTTTCTATTATCTATATCTATATCTAACTATCATCTATCTCTATCATTTATATCTATCTATCATCTATCTATCTATCTATCTATCTATCTATCTATCTATCTATCTATCTATCTTTCTATCTACCTACCTACCTACCTACCTACCTACCTACCTACCTACCTACCTACCTATATCTATGCAGGACTCGCTAAACTTCATTTAGCTAAAAGTAAAATTCCAGTTCCCACACGGGCTGGACACATTTCTGAATCCCCCGTGGCTGCTCGGGCCCCTGGGTCCCCAGATAAAGAGCCTTCAAAGCTTGCCAGGCCATCTTCCCACCTACACAGGCAGATCTGACTAAGCCCACAAAGCGAGGGATTCAAGCAAAGCCAGTGTTGTTGAGCTGGTTCGAATGCCCAGCGACTCACCACTGGAGGTTTGCATCGGAGGCTGTAAACATTTCCAGCAGTGGCTGCTGCGCCAGCGTTCCTGTGGGGAGAAGTTGGTGGGTCAAACCACTGAGCTTTCAGTTAGCAGCACAACACATAGGGCACTACGCCCTCTGGGCGCCTTCACAAAGCAAATGTTTTTCTTAGGTGTTGTGGGGTCAACGATAACTCATAGTGACCCTGTGAACAGATTGGAACCCGGCCTATCCTGTCCCAGCTCATGGTCTGATAAGCTTGAGCCCATTGTTATTGTCACTGTCCGTCTGGGCCCTTTGGGGTCTGCTTCTCTTTCTTTCCCAGCAAGATGTCCCCCTCCCTCCCCCCAAGGACTGGTCTCTCTTGACAAGGTGTCCAAAGAATAAGTCTCAGCATCCTTACCTCTGAGGAACATTCTGGCTGCATGTCCTCCAAACCAGATATTTGTTCTTGGCAGTTCATAGAATATTCAATACTCTCTGCCAACCCCACCACCCAATAGCTGGCCTCTCCTTGTGCTCAACAGCAAGGAAGTCACCATGAAGACTAAGGTGTGCCTGACACGAGCCGTGACATTACCAGTCACCTCATATCCCTGTGAAAGGCGGACAGTGAGTAAGGAAGGCTGACAAAGTATTGATGCCTTTGAATTATGGTGTTGGTGAAGACACTGAATCTGCCAGAGTGGCAAAACAAACAATAACAACAACGGCGACAACAAATCTGTCCTGAAGCCAGCAAGGATGGTGAGACTTGGACTTGGGGCATGTTGTCAGGAGAACAGATCCTGGAAAAGACCAGAAAGGTCGGTAGACTAGACCTTTGTGAGAAAGGTGAAGACTCTTGACAAGAAGGACCCACGCGGCTGCCACAGGGGCGCAAACATAGCAAGGGTGTGAGGTGGGCGGGACTGGGGAGCGTTTTATTCTGTTCTTTGTATGATCTCGGTGAAGTGGGAGCCACTTGATGGTGTCTAATGAGAAGTCAGAAGGTTGGTGGTTTGAACCCACTTAGAGGCACCTTGGAAGAGAGTCCTGCCCATATCCTTCAGCAACAGCAACATTGTCAGTGTGCTGGACTGCGCTGGCTTGCGTGGTGACGCAGAAAGGTGTCCAGTACCCAGAGTGGGCAGGTTTCAGCAGAGCATACAGATTAAGAGAGACTGGGAATAAAGGCCTGGCGATTTTATTCTGACCACTCCCAGCCTTGAAACCACCACAGAACAAAGTTCTACTCTGACCCATGTGGGGTCACCGCGAGTTGGAGTTGACTGGACTGGCCACTAACGGCAGACAAGGGCACTGAGGCGCAGGAACTTGGAGCCCGATCCATCCTGTCCTCCTCCTGCCCCTGACGCCCCCTGTGTTTTGTCCTCGCGCCTGCAGGGATCTGTGTCGCTGAACCATACGAGGTCAGAGTGACTCAAGACTTCTTCATTGACCTGCGACTGCCGTACTCAGTGGTCCGCAATGAGCAGGTGGAGATCCGAGCTGTCCTCTACAACTACCTGAAGAACAAGATCAAGGTGGGCTCCCAGCAGAGGCTGGGCGGAGGGCTGTGGCCGGTGCACCACTCATTGCGTGTCCTCTGCACCATTCACTGGAGATGCCCTCTGACCCGTGACTCCTGCACCTCCCACCGTGTGCCCTCTGTCCTGCATTGAGCACACCTCTCACCGTGTGCTCCCTGTCCGGCCATGCGCGCACCCCCTCTCCACAAGCCCTCTGTCCGGCAATGCCCGCACCTCTCACCGCGTGCCCTCTTGTCCTGCATTGCGCACACCTCTCACTGTGTGCTCTCTGTCCCCACACGCCCTCTGTGCGCACCTCTCACCGTGTGCCCTCTGTCCAGCCCTGCACACACCTCCCACCGTTTGCCCTCTGTCCGGCCCTGCGCACACCTCTCACCGTGTGCTCTGTCCCCACGCGCCCTCTGTGCGCACCTCTCACCGCGCGCCCTCTATCCACAGGTGCGTGCGGAGCTGCTCTACAACCCGGCCTTCTGCAGCCTCGCCACCGCCAAGAAGCGCCACCAGCAGGTCCTGGAGATCCCGCCGGAGTCCTCTGTGTCCTTACCTTTTGTCCTCGTGCCCCTGAAGATCGGCTTCCAGGAAGTGGAGGTCAAGGCTGCCGTCTACAACTTTTATATCAGCGATGGTGTCAAGAAGATCCTCAAGGTCGTGGTAAGTCCCTCCCCAGAGATGCTACCCCGGCCACCCAGGCTGGACACCCAGACTCTGAGACACCAGGGACCACAGCGTCCAGCTCGGGACCCTTAGACATCTTAGCGATTCACCTCTGAGACTGTAGCTCAATGCAGTTGGGTCTGCTCTGATATCGTGGCTGACCTTCCTTCCATTGGGTCTCCTGGGCTGTAAACCACGTGGGAAGGGGATTGTTGATCTTTTCCTGAGGTGCTGCTGGCGGATTCAAACCACAGAGAGGTGTAGTGCTTGGGTTAGCAGCACAGCTACCTACAATCTATGCCATTATGGCCCTTTGGCCTTCTTGTTGTGTGCCGATGATCTGGAATCCACTCATAGCTGGCCCTCCAGAAGGTTTTCAGCAGCAGTAAGTTGCACGAGAGTGGAGCAACTGGTGGATTTGAACCACACGCCTTTGAGGCTGTTGTGCACCTCCTTACCACTAGGCCACCAGAGCTCCTTGCAGCTCAAAATTTCAACTGAACAAGGGGGAGGCCCATGAATTGAACAAGGAATGCTGGTGGCACAGTGGGTTATGCAAAGATCCTGGGTTAGAACCCACCAGTGGTTCCTCTGAATAAAGATGAGAGAGTCTGCTCCCTTCAAGATGAAGAGCCTTGGAAACCCTTCAGAGAAGTTCCCTTCTCTCCTGTAGGGTCACTGTGAGTCAATTAGTTGACAGTGGGTGGTGGAAAGGTGATCAATATCATTCTGACCATCAGGGAGATCTCCCCCCCCCCCCCCCCGCCCCAAAAATCAACCATACAATCTCAAAGGGCAGCATTTGCCCCGAGATAAAACTCTAAAAGCAGGAAGGGATGGGCCAGAAGGTTGACTGGAAATGGTCCAGCTAGGAAGGAAGAGGGAAGAGGGAAGAGTGCTGCAACTATGTGCGACTTATGATTAATGTCATGAACCAAAATGCATGTGGAAACAAATTCACTCTGAGAACTTGCACCCAAACCACAATTAAAATTTTAAAAGAAATATTATAAATTTAGAAGCAGGACCAAGGTTAGGATGAGGAGAATGTGGCACCCACTTCAGGCACATTTTTTTGGTTGTTGTTGTGGTTGTTGGGGGCTTGGGTTGTTGGGGTTGTGTTGTTGTCAGCCGCAGTACTGCACCATCCTCGTGACTTGCTGTGGGTCAGCCTGCCATGATCCTGTTTTGCAAGGAGTGATTTGGGGCAGGGAGTGTGGTGGGGGTGGGGGTTGTGGAGTAAGTTGCCAGGTCTGTCTTAGTGTGAAATCTCCTCAACATCTTAGCAATATGCAAGCCTCCACTGACAGATGGGTGGTGTCTGCACATGACGTGCACTGCCTGGGAGTTGAACTCAGGTCTCCTGAGCAGAAGGCAAAATTCTCCTGCAGAACCCCCAGTGTCTCCACAGATGAAACACACTGCCATTGAATCCTTTTTGACACAAAGCAAACCACACATAGGGTAGGATAGAATAGCTCCGCAGTTTCCAAGGCTGTAAAGCCTTCCAGAAACAGACTGCTCCATCTTTCTCTGAGGAACAGCTGGGGGGTTCAAGTCACTGGCCTTTCCCCTAGAAGGCCAATGTTTAATCCACAGTGGGACCAGGACAACTAAATGAAATGGGCCCCTATTTATTGTGTACTATGTGCCATACTAAGTAGCTCGTGCATGTGCTTCTCCTTGAGAGACATTTGCAAGGCACCTGGATGGTGCAAGCAGTTAAGCAACTGGCCAGAAAGCAGAATGTTGGCAGTTCAGACCCACCCGAAGTGCCTCGGAAGCAAGGCCTGGTGATCTCTTTAGGAACACCACAGCCCTGAAAACCCTGTGGAATGCAGTTTTCTCCACACGTGTGTGAGTCAGGGTTTACTGAACATCAGTGGCGTTTTTCTTCTGTTTATGTTCAAGGGGTGATGAGTCCAAAGTACAGAGCCTGGAGCCAGACTTCCCAGGCTGCATACCCATGTCTGTTCTATAACCTGTGTGGCTTTGGCAAGTTTCAGAACCTCTCTGTACCCTGGTTTTTCCATCTGTAGAATGGGAATGATACAGCAATACCAACTTCATTGGGTCACTGTGAGGATTAAACAAGTTAACCTGTAATAAACATCCAGGCACACTTGAAGAAGTCAAGAGCTCTGATTATTTTTTTATTACCATTTTGTTACTAATTCACACAAGGCAATGCTCTCCGTGTCTGCACTGCCTCCTCTTCCTAAGAGAGGAGGTCGAGGCACAGAGAGACTAAGTCACTGGCTCTCAGCCACACAGCTGAGGACGCAGAGGCAGCTCGTGCTAGCCACACACAGTATGGTCCTGCTGACCACCTGTCTGTCTGCTTGTCCCCCACGCTGTGCAGCCAGAAGGAATCAGAGTCAACAAAACTGTGGCCGTCCGCACACTGGATCCGGAGAACAAGGGGCAAAGTGAGTGCTGCAGGAGGGGCTGGGGCAGGGGTGGGCGCAGGACCTGCATGAGGAGAGCCCCCGGTGCCATCCCTGTCTACCCTTACCCACCAGATGGGATACAGAGAGAGGAGATCCACGCAATAGACCTCAGCGACCAGGTTCCAGACACGGATTTGGAGACAAGGATCCTCCTACAAGGTGAGATGGATGCCCTGACCTGATCCCAGGTGACTCACAGATGTGAAGGTGCCAGAAAGGGATTTTGCCTAATACTGGGGGGATTGAGCCACTGCGCAGTCCCTGGAGAGGGGTGCAAAGGGTGCACATGCCCAGCGGCTAAAGGAAAGGTTGCAGGTTTGAGTCTGCCCAGCAGTGTGTTGGAAGAAAGGCCTGGTGTTCTGTGTCCTAAAACTCTCATATAAGCCCACTTTCACTGAGTCCCTTCTGACTCGTAATGGCCCTCTAGGACTGCCAAGACTAGAAATCCTTACACAAGTGGACTGTCAAGTATTTCTCCCACTGACTGACTAGTGGGTTCGAACCACTGACCTTTTGGTTAGCAGCTGACCACCGTTAGCTTAAAGCACTGTGGCCCCAGGGCTTCTTTCACAAAGCAAACACTGGAGCTAATTGCCCAGGATGGAGGACCAGGGTGAGAAGGGGTCAGTAAGGGGTTTGCAGCCTATGAGGCCTCGGATAAGTTAGCCCTGCTGTGCCTTAGTTTCTTCATGGGGCCAATCATAATAATAGTACCAACATCAAATGATTGCTCTGAGGATTAAATGAGATACATAAGGAAACAACTCACACTCATTGCTGGTGAGTCAGAGCTGACTCGCAGCTGACTCTCCAGCGGGCTCCCAGAGGCTGTGAATTGGCCATTTTTCTCCTATGGAGCTTCTGGTGGATTCGAACCGCTACAGCCTTTGAATTAGCAATGCGACTCTCTGCAGACTACACCACCAGAACCTCCCAATGAGATTCTACTATGTGGCATTCTCCAGAATAACTGCAAAGAGTCTCTCCCAATGCAGGGAGCTCCATGCGTCAGAGTCACACTTACTGAAGTTTGCAGTGGCTATGTTTTCAGATAGATATTGGCAGGCTCTTCTTCCTATGTGCCTCTGCGTGGCTTTGAACTACTCACCTTCTGATTAACCTCTGCTGTTGTTGTTGTTATGTGCCGTCGAGTCATTTGCGACTCATAGCGACCCTATGTACAACAGCCCTAAACCGTGCTCTATCCCGTGCCAATCTCATTGCCTCTGACACACCCACCCCGATTACCCCAGTCACTGAATCAATCCACCTCATAGAGGGTCTTCCCCTCCTGCGCTGTCCCTCTACTCTACCCAGCATGATGTCCCTCTCTAAAGACCTGTCTCTCCTTACAACATGTCCAAAGTATGTCAGGCGAAGCCCCAGAATCCTTGCCTCCAAGGAGCAGTCTGGTTTAACCCTCTCTAGGATGAATCTGTTTGTTTTCTTGGCAGTCCATGGTACATTCAATACTCTTCTCCAGCACCACAGCTCAAAGGCGTCAATTCTCCTTCTATCCTCCCTAGTCATTGTCCAACTCTCTGAAGCATAACAAGTGATTGCAAAAACCATGGCCTGTATCAGGTACACCTTAGTCTCCAGAGAGACACCGTTGCTCTTGAGTACTTTAGAGAGGTCCCTAACCGCAGACTTTCCCATGGCAATACGTTTTTTTATTTCCTGGCTACTGGTGCCAAGAGTGTTGACCGTGGAGCCAAGCAAATTGAAGCTGTCTATCCATATAGAGTCTGGACACACTATTCAGTACTGGAGTTTTAAGGTTCTTGGGCGGCACAGTTCTTGACCAGCTATTAACCTGAAGGTTGGAGGTTTGAGGCCACCTGTCTGCACTGCAGAACAAAGACCTGCCAATCCACTTCTTTAAAGATGACAGCGGAGCAGCTCATGGAGCAGCTATGCTCTGTGCTACAAGTTAGAAGTGGCTCAACAGGCATTGGGGGGTTTGGTTACTGGAGTTAATTGGAGCCCGGGTAGCATAGTGGTTAATGTCTTCACCTGCTAAGCACAATATCTGTGGTTTGAATCCACTACCAGTGAGAAAGAAGGCAGTCAGCTGCGGGGCATTTCAACTCTGTCCTGTAGGGTCTACGAGTAGGAATCAATTGGAAAGTAATGGCATTACTGTTCTTCCAAAAAACAGAGTTATAACTGGCATAACAAGTGAACCCAGGGGCCCCCTCTAAATGCAGACCCCATCAAGTCACTCAGTCACCCCCAGATCCTAGCTAGCTGCCCCTGAGCTCCCTGGCGCTGACGGGTCGGCCCCGGCTCGATGATGACCTGAGCGCTGTCCACCTCGTGCTCTCCACAGGGACTCCAGTAGCTCAGATGACGGAGGACGCCATCGACGGGGAACGGCTGAAGCACCTCATCGTGACGCCCTCGGGCTGTGGGGAGCAGAACATGATTGGCATCACACCCACTGTCATCGCCGTGCACTACCTGGACCAGACTGAGCAGTGGGAGAAGTTCGGCCTGGAGAAACGCCAGGAGGCTCTGGAGCTCATCAAGAAAGGTGAGTGCCCCGCAGAGCCCCGCCCCATAGTCCCCTTAAATGACCACCACCCCAGCCCCACCCTTGATGAGCCCACTCCCCACATTCTCCTTTAATACGCCCCACCTCCAGGCCCTACCTTTAATGAGCCACGCCCTCACCCTTGCTGAGCCCCTCCCCAACCTCGATGAGCTCCGCCCTTGTATTCTCCTTTAATTATGCCCTGCCTCCAGCCCCTACCTTTGATGAGTCTCGCCCCCAAATTACCCTTTAACAAGCCCAGCCCAACTTGGGGGGGGGGATAGAGAAAAAAGTGCAACAATGAGTGAATGGAAATCCAAAGTCTCTGTAAATGTTCATTAAAATTAATAAAATAAAATTAAAAAAGAATAAGCCCAGCCCCACCCTTGGAGAGCTACGCCCCTAAACTCCCCTTTAATGAGTGCCCCCTCTCTCAGAGAGACCTCCTTCCTTCACAGCCCTTACCCTTTTGTAAAATGCATCCACCTTGGAGCCCTCCTCCCCCAAGGACCGGTCCCCCCTCTCTGGGGCTTGCTTCCCCCAGCCCCCTCCTCACCTGAAGCTCTCTCCTGCTCCGAGCGCCCCTCTTACCTCCTCTCTGACCTCCCTCTCCTCCTGTCTCTGACCCCCAGTCCCTGAGAACCCCCTCTCCTGAGGGGGTACCCCCTTCCCCTTCTGGCTCTGCTCCTTTCTCTGAGCCCCTCTCCTCCACGACCCCGCCCTTGTCCGCAGGGTACACCCAGCAGCTGGCCTTCAGGCAACCCAACAACGCCTATGCTGCCTTCCTGAACCGGCCGTCCAGCACCTGGTGAGTCCCCAGGGGGCAGGCCAGCCAGCGCAGTCCGGTGCCACACGAGGCCAGGTCCTGTCGCCTGCAACGTCCAGGCGCTCGCTGGCAGAAGGGACCACGGACCAAAAACCCCCAAAGCAAAGCGTGCTTCGTCTTGGGAAAACTTGCCCGATGAGGTCCCGCCCCCTTGCTGCTCATTGGTTGGCTGGGACGTGCTCTCCCGACCCACAGCCTATTGGCTCATTCAACACTTACGGCTGAACCCGCCCATAGTGGAGCAGGCCCCGCCCCACGCGTCTCATTGGTTGTCTGGGACGGAGCCCTCCACAGCCTAGGCTCACCGTGTGCCCACCTGCAGGCTGACGGCCTACGTGGTCAAGGTCTTCTCTCTGGCGGCCAACCTCATCGCCATCGACTCCGTGGTCCTCTGCGGGGCTGTCAAATGGCTGATCCTGGAGAAGCAGAAGCCCGACGGTGTCTTCCAGGAGGATGGGCCCGTGATCCACCAAGAAATGATTGTGAGCAGTGGGGCCGGGGGTTCCTGGGGACAAAGCCTGGACTAGTCTCTGTGTTTGCAAGAGCCAGAGGCTGGTGCCAAAGGAAAGTGGGACCCCCTCGTTCAGAAAAGCATCACTGAGGGAGCTCTGGTGGCCTAATCCGTATCCAGTTGCACTGTTAACCCAAAAAGCAGCGCTAATTTCTTCACACCAAGGACAGGACCTCCCAAGTGTGCACAGTACTGGGACATCCCCTTCCCCCTTCAGGTCATCACCAAGCTGCTCTCCTCCTGTGTTCTGGTTGCTTCTCCAAAGTGACTACTTCTCAGCCTCTCTCTAGTCACCCCATAGTCCCAGCAACTCCGTTCCTCAGCTGCAACCTTGCAAAAGCTGCCTCAAAGGCATGCATGCTCTGCGCCTCCTCCCAGCCCTCTTCCAGGTTCCTGCCTCACAGCAGCCTGGAGTGCCTTGGGCAGTTCTGTTCAGCTCACAGCTTAGAAACTTCTGGAGCTTCCTTTTGCTCTCAAAAGAAACGTTGAGTTCCTTCCAGTGTTGGCTTACCGGGTAGAGTCCCCAGACGAGCTGCTTCATGCCTACCTGAGAACTTGCTAGAAATACATACTCTCAGGCAGAGCCCCTGAATCAGAAACTTTTTTTTAGAACAAAACATTTTTATTGCAATCTTAAATAAGCATAATCCACATAGTTAGGGAGTAAGCACAATCTGAAAGCATAATAATATGTGAAAACTTATTCCAAATGTATATAGTTAAGATAGTTATTATGTGCTTACATGCAGTGCTGTTAATTTACACTTCTTCTAATATTTTTTAATCATTCATCATTGCACATTTTCCTTCATCTCCCCCAGACCACATTGAAATGTACCTCTTGTTCCAGACTCTTGTCATACATATATAATGCCTACTCAAATATTGCTGTTGTTGTTATTATTGTTGATTGCCTTCGAGTCAAGCATGTGACCCTATGAACAGAAAGCCTGAATCTTTTCTATAACTACCGACATTTATCAAAGTTCATAGAGTTTGTTGTTTAGGAAGTGGATGCTACTCCTGCTCCCAAAATTACTTTCAGTTATTCCCCTCATCTATTCCAATGCAGTGTTCATCATCTATCAGAAACTCTTTTTAAAAAAATTTTATTTTATTAATTTTAAGGAGGGTTGCCTGTGTGTGAGCTCAAGACAGAGACCCACCGCTTTCCTTCCCTTCTCACAAGCTGTCCACAGTAGCAGCCTTGCCCTTTTTTCTGCCTCAGGGCCTTTGCACATGTTGTGCCCTATGTCTAACATGCTAACCTCTGCCTCTTTGCAAATCGACACCTACCCATTCTTATGTGGGGCTCAATTTACATCCTTGAAGACACGTTTGCTGACCCCCAACTGGGTCACCTCTCCATACTATCCTTCTCAAGCCCTATTCACTTGTTTACTGTGTGTCTCTTTGTAATTATATTTGCTGGCTAGTTTATGTCTGGTGGGTAGGACACTCTGTAAGGGGCTGAGGCTAGTGCCTGGTCCTCATCCTCCATTGTATCCATGGCAACAGCCCAATGGCTCTACAGAAACATCTTCTGATGGATGGATGCCATGCTGAAGGGCCCAACTCTTGGCTCAGTTTTTCAGCACTTCTGTAGCAGAAAGCCCACAAGTGGGTGGCTTTAACGAACAGTCATTTATTTTCTCATAGTGTTGAAAGCTAGATGTTCAAATACAGAATGTTAGCTCTAGGAGAAATTTCTGTCTCTGTGTCAACCCTTATCTCCGGCTTGTTTCTTCATTCCTTGGAGATCTCAATGCGACTGGACATCTCACTTCTCCCATCTCTGCTTCTCACCTGCTTAGTTTATATTTGTTTTGTTTTGTTTTTAAAAGCCTCATTGTTGTCGAATCAGTTCTCACTCAGTGACCCTCCATCTGGTTCCTGATGTCATAAATCATGAGAAGGGGTATTGTCCATCCTTCTCCAGTGATGGACTTGGACCACTGGAGAGATGCTGGACCTTCTGGGCAGCAGTGCAACACCCACCACAGTTCCCTGGCTTGTTCAGTCTCTTACTTCTCAGAAGAGATTGATTCAAAACACATACCCTACACTAATCCTGTCTCATTAACATAATAAACACAATCTATTCCTAAAGGGGGTTCTAACCACAAACAAGCACAGGGCTCAAGATTTACCTGTATTTAGGGGAACACAATTTAATCCATAATAACCCTTTTGGGGAGACACTAGATACAGTGTGCCCCAACTCCAGTGCTGGACGGGGGTTGGCTGGAGTGTGCAAACACACATCGGTGACTCCATCGTGACCTCCTGCTCTCCATCCTAGGGTGGCTTCCGGGATGCGAAGGAGAAAGATGTCTCGCTCACCGCCTTTGTTCTCATCGCACTGCTGGAAGCTAGAGAGATCTGTGAGGGACAGGTCAACGTAAGTGTCTCTGTCCCCTCTCCCGTCCTCTCACCCACCGGCTCAGGGTGCATAAAATGACCCACTGTATTCTGGCAGTTTCCACTCCTCCTCAGTACAATGCTGTTTCTCACAGCAGCACCACGACACACAGTGCACACAGCTGTCGGCGTGACCCCATGTGTGTGTAGTACAACTGCGCTCCATAGGGTTTCCAATGGCTGGGATCATTGGGAAATAGGTTGCCAGTCCTTTCCTCTGAGGCACTTTTGGGTGGGTTTGAACCACCAGCCTATTTGGAAGCAGCCAAACAGGTAACCATTCATGCTGCCGAGTAGAGGGTCAGCAGCAAAGAGGGAGACTCCCCATGAACTCGGTGGCTACAGTGGCTGCAGTAATGGGCACAAATAAGGCAAAGGCCATGAGGATGGCACAGGACTGGCAAGGCTTCATCCTACATCCTGTGAGTGCCTGCCAACAACAAGAACCAGCTAGCCACATCCGTCCTGAGGACAGAGGCCTTGCCTGCGGTCAGTGGCAGCAATGCCCACCTGACCAGGAGTGTCGGGTCTTCTTCCTCACAGAGCCTGGGGGGCAGCATCAACAAGGCCAGAGACTTCATTGAAGCCAATTACGTGAATCTGAAGAGACCCTACACGGTGGCCATCGCCGGCTACGCCCTGGCCCTGCTGGGCAAGCTGGAGGGTCAGCATCTCAACACGTTTCTGAACACAGCCAAAGGTGAGACACTGCACGGACAGGTGAGGGGGGAGGCGGGGCTGGGATGTCAGGGGATGACCTCGAGCTGAGGTGGGGTGCACAGCCCCAATGAAGCTCAAATGGGCACCCCTGAATCAAACTGGGGTGGCACATGGCCTCCAACCAAGCTTGGGTGGACAGCGCCAAGCTGAGCCAAGCTGGGATACACAGTTCCACCCCAAGCTGAGATGGACATCTGTTTGATGAGCAAAGCCAGTCATGATGGTCTGCTGGACCTTTCGTTCAACTGATGTGTGTCTAGAATTTCTTTTTTCTTTTAAATTTTTTATTTTTTTAAAATTTTTATTGTATTGTTTTTAAGTGTACCGTCAAATCAGATCTGACTGGTACAGGAGGAGATTTCCCCCTCCTTCTCCAGCCGAGCATCTGGTGGATTTGAACTGCGTACTTCTGGGATTGTAGTGCAGTGTCTTGCCACTAGGCCACCAGAGCTCCCTAGAATTTTTCACAGCACAGAACTGAAAAGGTAGCCAAGACTGTGGGCTTTCACGCCAGACACGCCTAAGTTCAAATCCTGATCTGCCTCGTTCGCACTGTGTACAAGTCACTTTACCGCTCTGGACCTTAGTTCTTGCATCTGCATTCATCACCTACCTGCTTGGCAGGGTGATGGTGAACGTCGAATGAGTGATGGAGGTGTGGCAAGTCCGACACATTGAATATCCACATCAGTGATGTTCTGATCGCTTGTATTATTGTCATACATGGTACAAACACTGGTGGTGAAAGAAACCACAAGGTTGCTGGTTCAAATCCAGCCAGCAGCTCCACGAGATTAAGACCTGATTTACTTCAGTAAAAATTACAGCCTAGTTGTGCATCAGAGTTACTCATGACCTATGTGCACACAGAACTGGGTTCCATAGGGTTTTCAATGGCTGTAACATTTCAGAAGTAGATGGCCAGGCCTTTTGTCTGAGGCACCTCTGGGTAGACTTGAACTTTCAACCTTTTGTATAGCAGCTGTGTGTGTTCGTGGTTGGTCGCACCAGGAGGTTCTAGCATGAATCTTTGCGCTTTCTCTGCGTGGTCAGCAGGCTGGACAGAGTGGTGAGCCCTGTGGTGATTGTCTCTGCAGATAAGAATCGCTGGGAGGAGCCTGGTCAGCAGCTGTACAACGTGGAGGCCACATCCTATGCCCTTTTGGCCCTGCTGGAAATCAAAGACTTTGACTTCGTCCCTCCGGTTGTACGTTGGCTCAATGAGCAGAGATACTATGGAGGTGGCTATGGCTCTACCCAGGCAAGTGACCCCCTGAGCCCCGGATGCCTGTCTTCCTACCACCTCTCACCTCTCTTTGGGCCCGTGGAGGGGGCTCTGAGCCCTGAGAGGCAGTGTGATTCGGATGCAGTTGAGAAATCCATTGTTTTCTTAGTCATGAACCATCTCTGGGTTCTAAGACCATGTTCTTGATGTCCCAAGATGTGTTCTGAGCCTCCTTCTCCCTCTTGGTGTCTAGAGAATGTCTTCAGAGCTGTGGGTCAGATGTGAGTCTCTCTCTGTCCCCTCTCCCTTGTGGCTTCTGAAGGACATGTTCTCAGTTCAACCAAGGCCTTGGTCTCATAATTTCCACCGAGTGGGTTCTAGGCCAGGTACTAGGTTACTCTAGGAACCTTACTTGAGACCTTCTTTTCCCCAGTGGGTTAAAAACGCAGGTTCTAGTTAGCTCTCAATAGGGAAGTCTGGTGGCCTAGTGGCAAGAAGTTGTGCTGCAATCCCAAAGGCACGTGGTTCGAGGCCACCAGCTGCTTGTGAGAGAAAGATGAGTAATCTCCTCCCTTGTGATTAACTGCCTCTGAAAACCCACCAGAGGGTCAGCTATGGGTCAGTTATGACTCTGTGGTACACCACTACCACCACCAATCACCATCACCACCACCACCACCACCACCACCACCACAACAACAACAACAGTTGGGTCTACAGCCTTGTCTGAGAGGTTCTCTGTTCCCTTCAGGGCTTTAATCTCTGCCCCTCTCTCACCCCAGCTCATGGCTCCATCAACCTCAGGCCCCAGTTTGACCTTTTCCTTTTTGGATGGGTTCTAAATCACATTTGTGGTGTCTCCAGATTTTATTCGGAATCTCCCCTCTTTTATTTCAGATCATCTGTTCCTTTTCCCCAGGTGTCAAGTTCATTTCTTCTATAAATGAGTTCTAGATACAACCTTAATGCCAGAACTCTGATCTGAGACACTCCCTCCCAGTGTTCTAGAACAAACATTCTCAGTGTGACTAGACTCCAGCCCTGTGGGTTCTAGATGCATCCTCCATGTACTTGGGCCCTGATCTGAGATGCTTTCATTTGGAGAGTTCTGGAACATGCACCAAGTAGTCCCAGGTCCCAACCTTATCCACACCCTCTCTAATGGGTTCTAGGCCATCATCTTCATGTCCCCAAGCTCTAGTCAGAGTCCCTCTGCCTTTCCAAGTTCAAAAAATGTTCCTAGACCCCCACTTTTACACCTGATGGGTTCTAGGTCAAGGTCTTGGTGTTGTACTCTGGTCTGAGCCTCTCTGTCTCCTTGGGTTTTAACTACCCTCTCTGGTCTTTCATATCACTGTCTTTCTCTCTGGTGGGTTCTAGGCCACCTTCATGGTGTTCCAAGCTTTGGCTCAGTACCAGAAGGATGTCCCTGACCACAAGGACTTGAACCTGGACGTGTCTATCGACTTGCCCAGCCGCAGTGCTCCTCTCAATTACCGCATCCTCTGGGAATCGGCCAGCCTTCAGCGATCGGAAGAGGTAGGCCTTCCTGGCTAAGTCCTCCTTTGCCCATCACACCAGCCAGGGTTTGCTGGGAGGGCATGAGAGAGGGACAGATGGCCATCAGAGCCAGAAGAAGCCTTGGTTCCCAGTGCACTCTCTTCTCTCCCTGCAGACCAAGGAGAATGAGGATTTCACACTGACAGCAAAAGGAAAAGGCCAAGGCACCTTGTCGGTAAGAAACAGGCTCCACTTCTACCTGCGTATCACCCTCTGCCCTGAGAGACGTTCTCTCTCCTGCCCTTGGCTTTGTCTTGGTTGTTAGGTGTTTCTGAGTCAACTATAGCAACTCTGAGCAATTGAAACCCCCCCTGTCCTACACCATCCTCACATCTCTGTTGTTGCATTCACTCTGTCACTCTCACTGAAGGTCTTCCTCTCCTTCACTGACCATTTACATTTCCTCCAGGAACCGGCTCCTGACCAAGCTGTCTCAAATCTCAGGCCCTGAGATCTCACCTTTCCTCCCATTTTGCCAGGTGGTGACAATGTACCATGCCAAGGTCAAAGGCAAAACCTCCTGCAAGAAGTTTGACCTGAGAGTCAGCATAAGACCAGCCCCTGCCACAGGTAAAAGGAGCAAAGGCCAGAATCTGTCACCCTCTCCCGCTTGGACCTCTACCACCTGACCCCTCTCCTGAGCCAAGACCCAGGGTCCCCCTCCCCATCTCTGTCTTCTTTGTCTCTTGTAGTTAAGAAGCCCGAGGATGCCCAGAGCACTATGATCCTAAACATCTGTGCCAGGTAAGAAGCTGGGCCACTAGGGCTCATCTCAGCCATCCCTGTCTCTTCCTCCAACTGGTTACCTGGGACACCTCACACTCTCCCAGGGTTTCCTGTGCATCCATCCACCAGCGGCTACAGAGCCAACTCTGACTCCTGGGGACCCCTGTGTGTCAGACTAAGACTGTGCTCTTTTGGGTTTTCAATGACCAAGTTTTTAGTAGATCACCAGGCTGTTGCCTCTGGTTGGACCCAAATCTTCACCCTTTGGGTGAGCATTTTTGCACCCCACAGGAACTAACCTCAGGAACCCCTCAAATGTGTAGGGTTTTGTTTTATCTTGTTTTTTACCCCTGTGCCATTTCCCTGTGACACTGTCATTTTTTAAGTCTCCCTTCACTTGCATATGATGCAATGGAAAAGGCCATGACTTTGGTTTGGCACACCTCAGTCCTCAAAGTGATGACCATGCTCCTTCATACTTTAAAGGGATCCTTGACAGTTTTTGTTGTTGTTTTATTTAAAAAAAAAGTTGAACAGTGAGGGGGCAGGGTAAAAAAAAATTGAGCTGTGAGTGAAAGTTTATAAGGCAAATCAGCTGGTTTGTTTTCCGCTGCTAATATTTTTTGTTGCTTTGAGTACAATAATTCTTACATGTTGTTTTATTCATGTACAATGTGTTTTATACAGTCTTTCATTTATATTGTTTCATAGAATCATTCATATACATTGTATTCATATAATTAATTACTATTGATCTATATGCCTATTGTTACCCTGTGTTTTCAAGTCCCCATTGGATCCTTTATATTTCTTCGCCTCTTCATCCTGATATACTAGTGATTTCCCCCTTCCCCTTTTTCTGCCCCTTCTCCCTTTCACCTGCCCCTTTTGAACATCTATATGCATCTTACTGAGTTATATGCTCACAATAATGGTCTTATGCAGTATTTGTCCTCACGAGACCGAGTTATTTCACTCAGTGTAACACTCTCTAGACTCTGTCATGTTATATAGTATTTTACAAGATTGTTGTTCTTTAGTACTGCATAGTATTTCTTTGTGTGAATGTACCACAATTTCTCAATTGCTTAGTTTCTTGAGCACTTGGGCTGTTTCCATTTTCTTGCTGTTATGAGCAATGCTGTAGTGAACATGTTGTTTGTTGTTATGTGCCATCAAGTTGCCTGTGACTCATACTGACCCTGTGTACAACAGCCCTAAACCCTGCTCTATCCTGTGCCAATTCAATTGTTTCTTTCATGCCTAACCCCATTACCCCAATCACTGAATCAATCCATCTCACCGAGATTATTCTCCCCACCAAGAGCTCTCTCTTGCCCTGTCCCTCCACCCTCCCAAGCATGACATCCCTCTCTAAGGACTGGTTCCTTCTTGCAACATGTCCAGAGTATTTCAGATGAGGCTTTAGAATCCTTGCCTCCAAGGAGCAACCTGGTTTAACCCTCTCCAGGATGAACCTGTTCATTCTCTTAGCAGTCCATGGGTATGCAAATCTCTGTTTGTGTCTCAGTTCTGTTACCTTGGGGTATGTTTTTAGCAAAGGAATATGTAGGTCATATGGGATTTCTTTGTTTTCTTGATGTTGAGCTGCAAGCCATATTGATGACTGTTCAGGTCCTTCTCAGTTTGGGAAAGCAAGATTGTGTCATCTGCATAGTGCAGGTTGTTGATGAGTCTTCCTTCTATCGTGATGCCATATTATTTCTCATAAAGTCAAGAAAACAAAGATTCTCACCAGTGGGCCAATTGGCAGCTCCATGATAGATGAAAAAGAGATTGAGATTGTTAACAATTTCATCTTGCTTGGATTCACAATCAACACTATTGCAGAGACAACCTAGCAGACAAGAAATAAAAAGAAAAAAAAGAATTGCATTAGGAAAGTCTTCTGTTAGAGACCTCTCCAGAGTTCTGAAGAGCAATAAAGTCAGTTTAGAGACTAAGGTGCACTTGATCCAGGTTATGGTCTGTACAATTACTTATTATGCATCAGAGAGACTAAGTATGACAGAAGAATCAATGACTTTGGATTGTGGTGCTGTAAAAGAGTGTTGAACATACCATCCTGTCAAGAGAAGAAACAGTTCTGTCCTGGAGAGGGTAAAACCAAGTTGCTCCTTGGAGACAAGGATTCTGGATCTCCATCTCACATACTTTGGGTATGTTGCCAGGAGGGACCAGTCCTTGGAGAAAGATATCATGCATGGAAGGGTCAGTGCAGAAGAGGAAGACCCTAGATGAGATGACTTGACATAGTAGCTGGGGTAATGGGGGTTGGTGCGTCGGAGTCAGTACTCAGGATAGAGCAGGGTTCAGAGTTTTTGTTTATAGGGCTGCTATAAGTCACATTGACTCAATGACACATAACAAGAACATGAAATTTCCATGTTCTTTCAGAGCAGTTGTACCATTTTACAATTCCACTACCACTGTATGAGAGTTCCAATAGCTCCAGGTTTTATTACTTGCTTTCCTGTTAAACTTTGTCCCTGCTGCTGGAGTAAGATGATATTATAGTTTTGATTTGCATCTCTCTGATTGCCAGTGATTTTGAGCATATCTTCATATGTCTGTTAGCTTTCTGAATGTCTTCATACTTTCCATGTAGTTTGCCCATTTTTAAAATTCAATTTTCAGTCTTTTTCCTGTCAAGGCCCTGTAGTATTCTGTATGCTTGCTTTGTTTTTTCATAATGTTTGAAGCTGCTGGGTGTTTCCTTGACATTATGTGAGTGGCTATTGTGAGTCTGTGATGCAGTTTCTGTTGTATCTGGGTAGGCTGTTGACAGTTCCTTATCTTTATTATATTATTGACAAATTGTGGACTTTACATGTTGTCCGTGATTCAGTCTTCCCTCCTGGTCATCTATGGGAAGCTTGGTTCCCCATTTCCTGTGGCAAGTGTCTCATTTGTTGTCCTTTGAGAAGCAGAGATCTGGTGTCTCTCCCTTTGTCCAGCTGTGATGGGCCCACTTCTTTGTCCTGTCCTACAGTTTGAACACCAGGTTCCTTCATGCTGCATTTCCCTCTTTTTTATGCCATTGCAAAGTGTTTTCTAAAAGTGAGCATTCCTTGGTACTGGCAACCAGCAGCCTCATGCTCTGGCCAGATCCCTTAATCCAAATATGGACCCCTGATGCTGACCTCTTTGGACACTCTCTCCCTGCTCTATCCAGGTATCTGGGAGATAAGGATGCCACCATGTCAATCCTGGATATATCCATGATGACCGGTTTTGCCCCTGACACTTCTGACCTTGACCTGGTAGGGTGAAGGTCTTGGGGGCAGTGGGAAGGGATCTGGGGTCTGAGCAAGGCTGGTGGGAGGACAGGGTTTCAGGAGGGATACTCACGAGCATCATTTTCTTCTAGTTGAGCAAAGGTGTGGACAGATACATCTCTAAGTATGAGATGGACAAGGCCTTGTCCAACAAGAACACCCTCATCATCTACCTGGATAAGGTTAGCCTCCCAGTGGGACCTTGACCCCTACCTGCATGGCTTTTTCCTCTCTGCATCTTTCTTTCCAGATGGGATCTAGACTGGGAGAGTGCATATAGCTAAGCCCTTGACTAATCTCTGAAAGGTCAGCAGTCTGAACCTAGCCAAAGGCACTTTGGAAGAAAGGCCTGGCAATCTGCTTCTGAAAGGTCCTGGCCTTGAACATGGAATATAGTTCTACCCTGTACACCTGGGTTCACCATGATTCAGAACTGGCTCAACAGCAACCAGTCACAAAACCACCACTTCAGGATGCCTAGAAGCACCGCAGTTCTGACCACTGACATCCAGCCCCCTAGTTCACCCGCTCCAGTGTGTTTTCATTAGAATCTTTAAAAATCCATAGAGAATACACACCCGTGTTTATTGCAGCTTTGTTCACAATAGCAAAGAGCTGGAAACAGCCCAAGTGCCCATCAACAAACAAATGGATAGAGAAGCTCTGGTATATACACACAATGGAATACTACGCAGCATTGAAAAACAAGGAACTTATGAAATATTATGCAAAGTGGATGACCCTAGAGGACATTACGCTGAGTGAAATATCTCAGTTTCAAAAGGACAAATATTGCACAGGGCCACTGTTGTAAAACGGGACTGACATCGGGGTTGAGGGAAGACAGAGAAGGAGGGGAGGAATGATGTATACTGCATTGAAACAGATGAGGGAGAGAACTGTTTAAAAGAGATATATCAATGTGTATTCTTGTCATTACAGAAGTCCAGAGTGAAGGCTGCATAGTGGAGTGGACTTTCGGGGAGGGGTTGCATAACAATGAGTTTTTCTTATTCTTCTCAAGAAGAGTGAATTAGGGGGTGGGGGGAGTAGGGAGAAAAGTGCAACAATGAATGACTAGAAATCCTAAGTCTCTGCAAACTTTCATTACAATTAATAATAAGGGGACAAAAATCCACAGAGAAGGAGCCACAGGTGACAAGCACTCAGGAGAGAGAAAAGGTCTCTATTAGACACACTCTGTTCCAACATCAGTATTCCATTCCCTCCCCAGCTGTCTTCTTTCTTTTTTAAGCTCTAACAACCGAGATTTCCTCCCTCCCTTCTTTCCTCCCTCAATTCTTTCCACACTCAACTCCAAGCTGAAACATTGATGATTTAAATCCACCAAGAAGTAGCTCAGAAGAAAGGCTGACAATCTGCTTCAGAAAGGCCCCAGCCCCACGGCGCAGTTCTGTTCTGCATGTGGGGTCGCCAGGAGTCAGGGCTGACTTGATGGCAACTAACAGTGACAACAGAGAGCTCTGGTGGCCTAGTGGTAAGAAGTTGTGCTGCCATCCCAAAGGCACACATTTCTAACCCACTAGCTGCTCTGTGGGAGAAAGATGGGCAGTCTCCTCCCATGAGATTAACTGCCTCTGAAAACCCACCAGAAGGCCATCTATTGGTCACTTTAGACTTGATGGTACATAACAACGATAATGATGATGGCTCAAACTTCCTCTCCCCTATGTAGTCCACTGACCAAGGTCCTCCCACCCCCCTCCCCAGGTGTCACACACCAGAGAGGACTGTCTGACCTTCAAAGTTCACCAGTATTTCAAGGTCGGACTGATCCAGCCTGGGTCTGTCAAGGTCTATTCCTACTACAACCTGGGTGAGCAGACAGCCTCAGGGCTGGGGGCTGAGGGTCCCTGGGGCCCAAGAGTGAGGGTGTGGGAGTCCTACAGCTTGGGTGAGTTCTAAGAGTAAGTTTCCTCAGGTTCTGAGAATGGGGGAAGGTAGTTCTATGGTGACAGTGGTGGCTCAGTGGTAGAAACTCTGTCATCCATTCAGGAGACCCTGGTTCGAATCCTAGCTTGTGCACCTCACCATCCGTCTGTCTGTAGAGATATGCATGAGTGGCTAGAATGCAGAGTGAATTTCAGCAAGGCCTGGAGATCTGATCCAAAGTTTAGCTAGGAAAACCCTGTGGTCCCCACAATCTGGTCTGCAGCCGATCACGGTGGAGCCCCAGGGCCCCACAATGCTTCCTTCTGCTTTGAAAGAGGCATGTGGGTCAGGGCCTGTTTGACCATGGCTGAGATCAACAACGATAGGAGGGATCCTGTGGGTTTGAGGGCCCCAGGGGATGACAGTAGGATCTGAGGGCCCAGGAGCTAAGACTAGAGTCTGAGAGTTCCAGGAATGTGAGTGTAGGGTCTGAGGGCCCCAGAGGCTGACAGTAGGATCTGAGAGCCCCAGGGATGTGAGTGTAGGGTCTGAGGGCCCAGGGACATAAGTATAAGGTCTGAGGGTCCCAGGGGTTGACAGTAGGGTCTGAGAGCCCCAGGGATGTGAGTGTAGGGTCTGAGGGTCTCAGGGGCTGACAGTAGGGTCTGAGTGCTCCAGGACCCGAAAGTAGGGTCCAAGTATCCCAGGGATGTATGAGTAGGGTTTGAAGGTCCCAGAATGTGAGTATGTAAAGTCTGAGGGTCCTAGGGTGTGAATATAAGGTTTGAGGGTCCCAAGGAGGAAAATGCAGGGTTCTGTAGGCCCATGGATCTCAGAGTTGGGGTCTGAGGGTTTGAGGGGTAAGAATTGAGCCCCAGGTGTGGCTCCTGAGCCCTTTCATTGCTCTGTCCACAGAGGAGTCCTGCATCAAGTTCTACCACCCAGACAAGGAGGACGGCATGCTGGACAAGCTCTGCCACAAAGACACCTGCCGCTGTGCCGAGGGTGAGTGTGGGAGAGGGGCGCTCACTGACCCGTGGACACCGAGGGGTGACCACACTCGGGGGTGCACGAGGGGCGCTCACTGACCCGTGGACACCAAGGGGTGACCACACTCGGGGGTGCAGGAGGGGTGCTCACTGACCCGTGGACACCAAGGGGTGACCACACTCGGGGGTGCAGGAGGGGCGCTCACTGACCCGTGGACACCAAGGGGTGACCACACTTGGGGGTGCAGGAGGGGTGCTCACTGACCTGTGGACACCAAGGAGTGGCCACACTCATGGGTGTGGGAGGGGCGCTCACTGACCTGCGGACACCAAGGGGTGACCACACTTGGGGGTGTGGGAGGGGCACTCACTCACCCCCGGCCAGACTCGGTGAACACCAAGGGGTGGCCACACTTGTGGGTGTGGGGAGGGGCAGTCACCGACCCATGGAGACAAGGGCTGACCACGCTCATAGCTGTGGGTCCAGGAGGAGAAACGGGTCTGAGGCTGTGCCCCATCCCCCACAGAGAACTGCTTCATGCACCACACGGAGGATGAGATCACCCTGAACTATCGGCTGGACAAAGCCTGCGAGCCGGGTGTGGACTACGGTGAGTGGAGGACGGCACGACGTGTCCATGGGGCTGGACGTGTGACTGTGAGTGACTGGTCATGCGAGGGTGAGTGGTGGGGTGTGGGTGTGAGAGATTGTGTAATAGGTTGACTGTATGTGTAAGGCTGATGTTAATGGGGTGTGTGAGAGAGAGAGATCATGGTTGTGATTGTGAGGAGGGAGCTCTAGTGGCTTAGTGGTAAGGAACTGCACTGTCAACATGAAGGTACAGGATTCGAACCCACCAGCTGCTCCTCAGGAGGATGGGCATTCTCCTCTGTGAGACTTACTGCCTCGGAAAACCTGTTGGAAGATCATCGATGGGCTGGGTCCTATTTGATGGTATTCAACATCAACAACGTGAGAGAGGGAGAGACTGTGGCTATGTGTGGGACTGAGTGTGTGTGTGCATGTGTGTGTGTGTGTGTGCAAGAGAGAGAGAAAGAAGAGAGAAACTGTGGTACGTGTGGCTGTGTTGTGTGTGAGACTGTGTAGGTATGGCTGTGAGTGTCCCTGGCTGTGTGTGTGACTGGAAGACTGTGGCTGGGCGTTTAATGGTTTGTGGCTGTGTGTCTAGAACTGTAGTTGTAAATGATTACACTGTACACAGTGTGTGAGTGTGACTGTGAGATGGTGGGTGTGAGTAACTGTTGTGTGTGCACCTGCATGTGAATGACTGTGATGTGTGACTGTGTGGAGTGTGTGAGGCAGGGGCTGAGGTGACTGCGGGCGTGAGTAGCTGGTGTTGTGTGGATGACTGTAGTTGCAGGTGAGCAGATTGTGCGTGTGACTGTGTGTGAGATGGTGGTTGTGAGCGGCTGTGGCTGCGTGTGCACCCAGGAATGTGTGTGTAGCAACGCATGTCCATGTGTGAGAGGGTTGGCTGTAAGTAGCTATGGTTGTGTGTGACCACGTGTGGAGTGTGAGAACACTGTAACTGTGCCTGGCTGAGGCTGTATGTGTTACCGAGGAGAGCCATGGTTATGTGGTCTGTGCAAATGTGTAAATGTGACTGTAGATAGCCGATTGTAAATATGACTGTGTTAAATGCATGTCTGGGAGTGAGGCCAGGGTTGTATGGATGGATGGAGGACTGGTTATGTGTGACTGTGGTTGCGTGAGACTGTGACTATGACGTGAGTACTGTAGCTCTGTGTGTGTGTGTTGACAATGATTGTGTGCATGGCTGTGAATGTGATTGTACCTATGAGCATGAGGGACTGTATGCATGGCTGTGAGTGTGACTGGGTGAAGTCTGGTTGTAACTAACAGTGTCTGGGTGTGAAGCAGCAGTGGAATGAGCATGGGTGTGTACACGTGTGTGAATGTGATGGTGTGAAATCTGGTTATACGTAGCTGCAGTTGTATGTATAAATATGGTTGTATGTGTGACTATGATAGTAACGGTGTGATGCTCATTTGTGACTAGCAATGACTGTGCGCGTGACTGTATGAATACACGATGAGTGTGAGTGATCGTGTATGTGTCTGAATGGAACTGTGTGAACTTCAGTTGTATCTGTAGTTGTGAGTGTGGGTGGTTGTATATGTGTGTCTCTAAGTGTCACACTCAGCGTGTGAGGTGATGGCTGTGTGTGTAGCTGCCTGTGGTATCCCACATGTGCCTGGCTGGAGGAGTCAGATGTGTTTAGGGGTGAGGCTGCCCCAATTTCTGCCTGTGACTTCCGATTCCCTCTCCCACAGTGTACAAGACCAAGATGGTGAGGCAGGAGCTGTCTGATGACTTTGACGACTACATAATGGTCATAGAACAGCTCATCAAGTCAGGTTGGTCTGCGCTCAGCCTTCGTCTTCCCTGACCCCAGGCTCTCTACCTCGGCCCATACTCCCACATCCCCCAGTCTCTCTGCCTGGCTCAGTTTGGCTCCTGCTCCCCGACAGGTTCCGACGAGGTCAAGGTGGGAGATGAGCGCCGTTTCATCAGTCACATCAAATGCAGAGAGGCCCTGAAACTGAAGGAGGGGAAGCACTACCTCATCTGGGGGGTCTCCTCTGATCTTTGGGGAGAGAAACCCAAGTGAGTGCCAGCCTCTGTGTGTGTGTGTGTGTGTGTGTGTGTCTGTCTCCTTGGCCCTGCCCCTCTTCACCTGTTCTCTTCTGTCTTCACTTGTCCCCACCTGTCTTCATCTGTCTTCACCTATCTTTGCCCATCCTCACCTGCTCTCACCTGTTTCACTTACCCTCACCTGACTGCTCCTGTCCTCACCTGCCCTCACCTGTCTTGCTTGTCCTCACCTGCTCTCACCTTACCCTCACCTGTCCACTTCTGTCCTCACTTGTCCTCATCTCTCTTCCTCTGCCCTCACCTGGTTTCATCTGTTTTCACCTGACCTCATCCATCTGCCTCTGTCTTCACCTACCCTCACTTGGTCTCACCTGTCTGCTCCTGTCCTCACCTTTCTTCACCTGCTGTCACCTGTCTTCACCTGCCCTCACCTGTTTGCTCCTGTCCTCACTTGCCCTTACCTTGTATCACCTGCCCTCACCTGCCCTCACCTGTCTTCACCTGCCCTCACCTGGTCTCACCTGCCTCACCTGTCTGCTCCTGTCCTCACCTGTCTTCACCTGCCCTCACCTGCCTTCCC